ACACTGGTACAGATAGGAACTGGAAACAGAATCTAGGATAGATGATCCCTTCAGGGCCAGTGGTGAGAGTGGCGATACCAGGAGGATGGAGGGAGGGTGGGGTGGAAAGGGGGAACCAATTACAGGGATCTACATTTAACCTCCTCCCTGGGGGATGGACAACAGAAGAGTGAAGGGAGACGTCGGACAGTATAAGATATGACAAAATAATTTATAAATTATCAAGAGTTCATGAGGGAGGGGGGGCGGGAAGGGAGGGGGGAAATGAGCTAATGCCAGGGGCTTAAGTGGAGAGCAAATGTTTTGAGAAGGATGAGAGTAATGAATGTACTTTAATGAATGTGCTTTACACAACTGATGTGTGTATGAATTGTGATAAGAGTTGTATGAGCCCTCAATACAATGATTAAGAAATAATAAAAATACGCTTTGGCTACAATGACTGGTCTTTACCTCCTTGAGTGGTTGTGAAGATTCAATGAGATGGCACTTTGGACGGCGCCAGGCACAGGGCAGACGCTCAGTAAGCTTCTTTGGAAGGAAGGAAGGAATCAATGGGCCTATTGTCAGCCTCTCATCTGAGAGTTGCTTCCTCCCCCTTTCCCCTTCACGGGGCCATTTTTGTAACATTGCCTGGATCCCTTTCCTCCCTTTTCTGTTCCACTCTGCAACCAAACAAAGCCTGTCTTTTTTAACTTCGGGACTCTGCGGTCTCTCTCTAAAGTTCCCAGCTCCAAAGGGCCAGTTATCACAAAAGATCACCCCTCCCTGTCCTGCAAATGCCCCAAAACCCCTCTCCCCGGCACACGCACCGGTCTGGACCACACTGAGCCGGATCTCTCCTATCAGCCCGTCAACATCTGGTGGGTTCTTCACGTGGCAGGTGTAGGTCCCATTGTCATCGAACTGCAGCTTCCAGAGGATAATGGAAACATCGTAGCGATCAAGATGCCCGTCCCAGAACACCCGGTCCTTGAAGCGCCCTATCCTGGCACCGTAGGGCCCCTGGTGGAAGTAAAATACCTGCAGAGGAGAAATGGCAGGAACTCTTTTCTAGCCAGTCTCTGGGCAAGGCAAGGTGATGGAAGCAGAAGAGACGCACCGATGCGCCAACCGCTCCCTCGGCAGCCCTCTCACCAGAACCTCCTTCCCTTCATCAACCTCCGCCCCAAGAATGGTTTCCCGCTGGGCCCTGCCTAAGCAAGGGTGTCCCTGGAAGATGGTGATAACCTACTTACAAATTGCTCAGGCCCCCCATCTCGAGGACGGAAATTCCAGGTCACTGTAAGAGCGTCGCCCACGGGGGCGAAGCTGGAGAAAGTGCATTTTAACCGAGCGTCAGTCCCGTTCACAGCCTCCAGCACGCGGGGGGTGTAAATTTCCATGGCTGCTGTCGGCCCAAAAGCTGCAATGGAGAAAAGCGGGTGACTAGAGGGTGTCGCGCTGACACATCAAATCAATGCCTGGGTAGAGCGTCACGTGGGATCGCGGTGCCCCCGCCCCCATCTCTCAAGGTTGCAGACTTTCTCCTTATGCAACCGTTACACACTCGTCTATGAGGCCCTGGCCGTTTGGTACCCGCGTCAAAACTATTGTATCAAACTACAAAGATTGGCAATGAAATTGAAAGCAGAAACATATATATATACATATCTACGCATATATATATATTGGTTACGCACTGCAGTATGTGTTAAGATTAAACATGAAGTACTGTGTGCAGAGGGCGCTGGTGGTATTCAGGGTTACACATCGGGCTGCTAACTACAAGGTCAGCAGTTCAAACCCACAGCTCTTCTGCAGGAGAAAGATGAGTCTCTCCACTCCTGGAAAGATTGCAGCGTCAGGAACCCTTAGGTTCTACTCTGTCCTATAGGGTCACCATGAACCAGAGTCGATGGCAGTCAGTTTGGTTTTACTTGGGGTATACAGACCCCTAGCAGAAAGGGTCTTCATTGGGGGTGTCATACTGTTTCTAGTCTTCTGCAGAAATGGCGTTAATTTCCCCACAGGCAGTGTGTGCTCATCTGTGCCGCGGGAACCTTTCTGCCACGAGGTACGTTCCACGCCAATATTTACATTTACATTTGGCAAGTTTCGAAACCACTGAGAGTCAGGCTTCTTAAACAATCTCAGCTTGCCGGACCTGCCCAGAGTCCCCGGACAAGATCCACACACAGGAGCCCAGCGCCCAATGCGGTTTGTCTTGGAGGTTGAGAACGAACACACACACACACACACACAGAAAAACCTCGTGTGTAACCGGAGATTAGAAAGCCCTCTGTGTGCCTCAATCAACTGGCCGACCAAACACACCTAAACCTGTTTGTCCCACAGCAGTTACCCAAAAACAGCTCGCCAAAGTTTCCGCAAAGTCAAAGCTAAAATGAGGCAGGGCAGAAGCGGCCCAGGCTTCCAAACAAACCCCCGCCCGAGCACCCGCACACCAGCGACCTTTGCAGGGTCGGTGGCACCCACCGAGGGAAGCCAGGCGAAGCTCCTTACCTGAGAGCTGTAGGCCGAGCAGCAGCAGCAGCACCCGAGCAAGGCGCTGGTCATACATGGGGGAAGCCCCGCGCTGGCCCCGGACGGGGACCAGACCGGGCCGACCAGGCCTCCAACCCCGGGTCAAGGCTGCTGCGGGGGAGAAGAGAGAGCGGGCTCCACGTTTGTCTGGAGAGAGGCGTCTGTCCCTCACCTACGGAAATCTGGAAATCTGAGCGCCCGCACGCACCTGTGACTCATCCCCTCTGGGCCCTGCACTTGCTGGAATGAAGAAGGGTGGGGCCTCCGCTCCCAGCACCCTCCTCCCCTCCTGCCTCCCGCCCTCTCTCCTACCAGCACCACTGAACCCAAGTTCCAAACTCCGGACTTTTCCGTTCAACCGCCTGGGCTGGGCCAGAAGAGGTGGTGCCTGAAAGGGCCCAGCCTGCTTTGGGTTGGGCCCCCACACACCCTGTTTTAACCGGCTTCAGGTCTGCCTGGGAAGTGAATGTAGAAACCACCATGCTGTGATTGATTCCACCTCCAGAAGCAACTCCCTGGGGCCGCTTGGGACGAGGACTGAGTCCATTACAACTCTGAGACAAGAAGGAGAATTCCTACAGCCCTGCCTCCTATTTTAGCCGGATGTTACCACGAGAATTTCACACACCTTTGGCAGCTTGTAGTTCTCCATAAGGCAGCACCAAAGACAGACGCTGACCCAAATGCCTCTGTGTTGCAGGGCCCTTTGCCTTTGAAGGGTTAAAAGAGACGGCAGACTGTTTTCTTGCTTATTCATTCTCCTGCACAAAATTCTTTTGGGTTTTTCCCCTTTGCCGTTGGGGCCTTCAAGGCTTGGGGAAGGTCCAGCACTTGGTCCAAGGTTGCACAGCCAGGAAGTAGAACTTTCCTGACCGGTAGATCTTGTGCCCTTTCCACAAAATGACAACCAGCACAGCGATCTGGGGACTACCAGGGAAAAGACTGCCCCTGTAACATGTGAGCTGCCAGTTTCCAGCCAGCTGTGGGAACCGTCGAAAGAGCTAGGGAACCGAACTGGGGAAAGTGCCTCCTTCTCTGAGGGAGGGGCTGGCCACGGAGCCGAGGGGCAGCATGGAAAGAGCAAGGGAGCAGATGAAGCTGAGACGCAGTCAAGACATGGGCTTGGCCAGGGCGCCAGCTCTGAACAGAAACACGTTGTCCTTATCCCTGGATTCGTAATACAGAAACCCTTTAGTGATTCATAAAACCGAGCGACACCCTGGGACAGGGAGGGTTGCCAGGAAGGGGAGGGGAAAAAATCACAGCAAGAAGGAAGAACGAAGGTGGGGGAGGAGGGGTGCTAGGAGCAGCATCACCAAGAGGGAAGAAGCGAGGGCACCAGGAGAGAGGCACCTTACTCGAATAAAGGAAAAGCAAGGTAGCCGGAGGCCTGGTCATGCACAGGGAAGCACAAGGGGCCGGGAGCCAGCCTGGTGAAGTCCGGCCGGCTCCCAGGCATGACGATGGCGCGTGTTTCTGAAAAGCGGTGGTTTTGTTCAGAAATGGAGCTGGAGTCAGAAGACCCAGAGAAACTTTCCAGTGATGAGGCTAAGCCAGTCTTGCTGGTATGTAGGTCCGAAGAGCTCAGCTCCAGGGACCTGAAAGAAAATGAGCGAAGGAAAGAAATCAGACCCGCGTCGACTTTCCACGCTGCAAGAGGAATGCCGCTCTGGCGGCGGGTGGGCAAGGCCTGAAGGCTGCAGCAACTGCAGAACTGGGCAGAGGTAGGGTTACCAAAGACCTCGGGGATGCGGCACAAACAGCGGGAGAGGAATGGGGCAGGAAGGACTGAACAGACTGCCCGTTGTCAGGAACCGGAGACGCACTCCCCCAGGTAGCCCGGCACCCTGGGAGCTGGCTGTCAGCCCTGCTGGAGGGTCAGCAGCTGCCCAGATCCCATTCCTCAGCAGAGTTCAAGTTCTTGGCTTGGTTCCCGAACAACGCCCAATTCCAGTTATCGGGAGCGGCTCTTGAGTCTCCCTGTTCTCCCAGAGTGAGCAAAGAGGAAGAAGCCAGGGGCTGAGCTTGGTAAGAGAAAGCACCGAATAAGAGGGTAGGTTGCCCCTGAAAGTCCCCCCTGGAAGTTAGGGAAGGCTCAAGTTTTTGTCTAGGGAAATGAGATCAAAGGAAGAAGGGTTGGGGAGAGGAGAGGGGGAGGGCGACGTTTTCAGAGACACTACTCTTTCCCCTAAGCTTTTACTGGGAAACATTTGTGACATGTCAGCAGTTTTGGAAGCACCTTTTGAGTCCCAATTCTCCACCCAGTCCCCACCCCGCGCCACCCCTAAAATATTTCTAATGGCTCTCTAAACCATGGCCAGTAGGATGCGCACTGGGAGCTTAAAAGAGAGAGGCTAACTGACCCATAGATAAATATTTGCAAAAATTGTTCTTGCCCAACATCCTGGGGTGGGGGTGGGGGGAGACTTTGCACAAGATGAAACCAGTATTCACTGAAGCAAAAAAAAAAAAGTCAGGTGGTTCAAATAAGGCAGTTTTTACTCAAAAGTTTCTTTCTGTTCATATGCCTTCCTTACTCTCAGAACATTTTTATGCCAGGCTAGACATGCAAAGCAGACGTTGAGGCCTGGCAGGAAATCTTAATCCCAAGAGGATGGGAACTGACGAGTGTCAATAAACACATACTTCCCATATTCCTGATATTTGAATCGAGCGTTGAAAGGAGAAAGAGGGATTCTGGGAAATGAAAACCAGTCCAGCTGAGGCCCTGGGTGGGCATGTGGCATGCACAGGGGGCAGCAGCAAGCCCTCCGGCCCCATGAGAATGAGGAGTGGCAGCTCGGGAGGCAGAGAGAGAGAGAGAGGCTGAGCTCAGATGTGAGGGTGTGCATTCTCCCCAAGGAGTGTGGCATATTGTTAGGATCAAGTCCACACTCCTTAGGGTGGCGAATGCAGACCCTCACGTCTGCAGTTCAAAACCACCAGCCACTCCCCAGGAGAAATATTAGACTTTCTATTCCCATCGTAAAGAGTCAGTCTTGAAAACCCACAGGGGCGGTTCTACCCAGTCCTATAAGGTCACTATGGGTTGGCACCAACTTGGTGGTAGAGTGAGTGAGTGTGTGATCTGGACAGAGCAGAGCCTCTCTTTCGTGAAGGACATTGGCCTCTCCGGGTCGGTGGTCCTTAAAGGGGTGGACAGGGTCTCGAGATGACAGCTCCGCACCCCCTGCTTTCTCAGAGGGAGGAAGAGCATGCAAAGGCCAGGATGGAAATACAAATGTAATGGCAGCTTTCAGAAGACACAAGAACTCAAAGACTCCCAGCTTTCCCCAACCAACAACTTTGATTTATGCCTCTTTTAAAATATAACTCCCTCTGGTTTAGAGAGCTTTTCCCAGATAAGAGAAAGAGATTTAGTGGTTAAAATCCTAGGAAGAGAGGTGAGCTCTCTCCTCAAAAGAAGAGCTGGTCCCTGTGCCTCGGGTCTGTGGCTCAGTGGACCTTAAAACACCCTGAGCTGGAAGACTCTCCTCCCTCCTCCCTCCTCCCTCCTCCCTCAGTGCTGTTTCTGCTCCTCTCCAGGAAAGCCTTGGGCTCCTTTCCTAATTGCAGAAGTGAGGCATCTTGCCCTCATTAAGCAGCCCACGAAAAAACCCCGAAGTGTAGCCCTTCACTTATTTGAAACTGGAGCTGGCGCGACTGCACAGGACTGGAGAGATGGAGTATCTTTGAAGATAACTGTGGATAATCTCCCAGAAGTTAGGGACCTTGATAGAGCACATCTCTCTCCCTGTCACCCTACACACCACACCTAAATCATGGATGAAGATTTACATTTATAATGTGATCACTGATGAGCACAATAACTCCCAGTTACCACGACTAGTATCATTTTTAAGGAAATGGATTCATTCCCTGGGGCGGGGGGGTTGGCCGCGGCGCGGGGAGGATGTCACTTCTTTCATTCTTCCATTCCATACTAGACGGCATTAGGAGTCAAAGGGACTGGCCATGTGGCACAGTGGGTTACACACTGGGCTGCTAACCTCACGGTCAGAAGTTCGCAGCCACCAGCCGCCCTGTGGGAGAAAGATAAGGCTTTGTATAGTAAAGCATTATCATTTTTGGAAACCCACAGGGGTAGCCCCACCCTGCCAAAAAGGGTTGCTATGAGTCAGCATCTATGGCAATGAGTGAGGTTAGAAGATCAGGAGCTGGAGTTAGACTACTTAGACCCAAATCCAAGGGCAGCCTCTTACAAGATATGTGACGTTGGGCAGTTCTTTAATTATTTCAGGTGTAATCTGAGAATAAACCTGTCCCATATGCTTATCATAAGTATCCGGTGGAATATTGGATAGAAGTAACGTGCTGAGCTCAGAGTCCCCAATAAACTGAAAGAAGAGCATGGAAGAGTGTATGCACTTGAATTGTGGCGTGAGTAAAGAATACTGAATAGACTGCGTGCGGAGCCCCTGATGGCGTACTGGGTTACTCATTGGCCTGCCAACCTCAAAGACGGCAGTTCAAACCCACCAGTTGCTTCAAGGAAAAAAGATGAGGCTTTCTGCTCCCAGAAAGATTCACAGCCTCAGAACGCCAGTTCTACTCTATCCAAAGAGTCACTTATGCGTTGGAATCAACTTGATGGCAGTGAGTTTAAGGAAACGGACTGCTAAGACCTCCTTGCGAAACATGTAACCACTACACCACCAGGGCTCCTACACGTAGATTGAGCCTCGGTGAATTCCCTTTGACCATAATGGAGAGATGTGCATAGACTCGTGATCAGACAAAGGGCCTGTAAAGTCAATTATGGCAGATATAGTTCGGTTTAAAGGTATTATCATGTGACCTCCCCTTTGACCTATTTTAAAGTTGTTTCAGTTGGGTTTTTTTTTAAGGTGAAGGGGGAAAATACACTGGTTAAGCCTCCAGTGAACCCCGTCGGAACAAATTTAAAATGGGTCAAAAGGGCCAGGGATGTGACTAGCCTTGCTACCACGTGGAGCCCAACGTGGAGTGCACTGGAAAGTGGATTATTGAAGCTGTAGTTAAGTTAAAGTTTAACACCTTGTCATTTCATCTCCCTTTTGACCCATTTTAAATTTGTTCTAGCTTTTAGTATTCCCTGCCTTCTTTTCTATTGAGGTTTTTCTGTTTTACTTTGTTATTATTATTAGGTTTGTTGTTGTTTGTTTTCCTGTATAAGAAAGCCCAGATTGGTAAATCTATAGAGACAATAATTAGATTAATGATTTCTCAGGGGTATCACAGGG